GGTGTTCTAAAAGGCCAGTTTAACAAGGCCGTCTGTATCCCCAGGGGATGATGGCACCATAACAGAGAAATTGGGCTTCCTAGAGCCCATCAGGCGACATAGCTTCATCAAGAGGATCCAGAGCACAGTCTGAGTAGGCAGAAACCTTCAGGGAATAGGTAGTCTAGTAGGTAACTTGGCCCCTAGAGGGCTTTAAAGATGACAACTGACACATTGAACTATATCTAAAAGCCTATAATATATATATTCATATAGGCATACATTTTTGCTTTTCAATATTGTTATTAGAGGCATGTTTGGCCAGGAGTCATTGGCTTTCATTTGCAAATTGCTATTGAGAATGTGTGTATGTGTGTGTATGTGTACACACACCCACACAACATGCCATGGTTAAAAAGAATAAAACAATACAATTAAAATGAAGGGAAAATTTAAAAAGTACAATTACAACCAATCTAGCTAACTAATAAATAGCCACACACACACAAAAAGATGGGTTTTGACCATTTCCCCAAACATTGAGAAAATGGGACCAAACACACCTTCATGGTAAGAACAGTCTGCAACCTTGAGAACACACAGGAGAAGCACCACAGGCTTTTGGCAATGAGGGAATCTTTCAAAGGGTCTCTTGCTGATCTAAGTAACAGGTTCCTGACTTGGGTATAATACTGGTGTTAACTGCTGAACTGAAAGATCTATCTCCACCAGTGGAAAACAGCTGTTAGTCAGACAAGCTACAAAATTTAGCTATGTGTGAGAACGTGTCACCACATTTTACATTTTAATGCACAAAATATGTTCCATCCATTTTGGAAAAGGGATTCTGAGAAAATGCTTTGAAAATATCTTTTATGCTACAGATGCTCTTTGCAAAAGCTATCTCAGATCTAAAACTGTACAGTGTCGGAAATGTTTCTAAGCATCCCACACTGTTTTTATATTCGAACTGGAGCTGCCTTGTGCTTTCTGCTAAGGAGGAACAAATGACTCTGCCATAAGCAATCAGAATGAACTTTGCAAACACTTTCCCAGGATTTGTAGGAAAAAGCCTCTCTCTGTCTCCTGCCAAGCAATAGTTTAAGACTATCTTCAACAGTCCCGCTCTGGGCAATTAGGTAGAAACTTTGCTGTTGACATTGAGACTGGAGGCTAATTGCCAGCAGGCATGCAGTAGATTGGAGAGAGAAGGGATATAAAGAGGACAGGTAGCAGATGGAAATGATGCTGCTAGAAGATTGGGCCCGAGTCTCACTGGGGTTGTAAACTTACATCTGGGATGAGTAATTTCAGATGGCAGGTGGAGCACATAGAACTGGATGTTCTTTCAATTCAGAGAAAATGAGCAGTTGAGGAGAAGAGTCCTTGTCAAATGTCTTTTCTGGAATCCTGCTTTTGGTGTACAGCTTTTTTTTTAATGGGTGAATGTTGGATTCCATGAGCTCCTGCACCAGCCTGAATGCCACAGGCAATATGTTCTTCAATGCCTTACTAGTCCTGACAGCTTGTTTATTTGTTTAAATTATTAACAGCTGCAGGGCGAATAGTTTTCATCTTTCCCTCTTCTGATGGAATCCTGAATCCATGCTGCTTTTAACCTCAGGGAGAAAAAAAACCTCACTGGATATTTTCCAGGCATCCTTTGCAATGATACTACTACCTAGAATGTTGTGCCAACATGAGCATTTCAAATTTTTTAATGTCCAGTCTCCACTATAGAGTGAACCACGGGACTCTTGTTTATTGATTGTAATTTGCAATTCAAATTTTAGGTTGGAAGAAGAGGTCTACTTATGGAAGTTTTTTGCATATGGAAAAAAATGAATTGACTGTGCAGATTCTTTCCTTTCTTCTTTCTCTAATTTAAAACATTTAATTTAAATTTAATTTAAAACCCTTGTTTCATAGGTTAATCAGCCAAATTTAGTATCATTTAAAAATACAGGTGCAAATCATGTTTAATTATAGGTACTTAATTTAGCTATGAAAGCAAATGTCTGGAACTGGTCTTTCCTACAAAGAATTTTTAGCAGAGGGACTGTAGCATTTCAGTAGTGTTGCAGAATTTATTTATTTATTTATTTTTTTGGGGGGGGGGGGGATGAAAAACACCTTTATCCAAAGAAGACAACTTAGAAAAAAGTGTATTTTTTTTAAAAAAAATAAAGAATGATTATGTTTTAAGGAGGACAGATTGATTTAGGAAAAAATAAACCTATTCAGTGAATGGTACAGAAGGAAGCTGAATTTTATTAGGCATTTGAGCTCTACCTATATAGAAGATTCTTCAGGATAGGTAAACGTTCTTTGCTTGATATAAAATATGTTGTTAAACTTGGTAGCAGTTCAACGAGGTATCTGCAGCCCATTCATAACTTAAGCTGAAAGTGACCATGTAACTAGACTTCTCTGCATTCTATTTGTTGCCTTGCTTTTTCTTGCACATGGCTTTAAACCTACTTCCATCCTGTCTCCCACAGTGACTAAACAAATAGGTCTGATGGATCCTACAAGAACATCAGATCAATAACTCTTCTCCGCTGTGGTTTTCTGGGAAGTAGTATTTAGAGGCTTGCTATCTCTGAGGCTGATCGGCTAGGATTAGATTCCCAGAATTCCCAGGGGCATGACTACTACTGCATCTTGACCAAAACATGAATTTATGTGACCAAAACATGAATTTATTAAGTCTTTTGAGGGTAATTAAAACAGCTCTCCTTTTTTGCAGAGGAGTAGCCTTTTTAGTCTGTAACAGCCAAAACAAAAACAAAAAAAAACCTCCACAGGGGTCTTTTGATTCTTGAAAAATTATCAAATTTATTATTCGATCAAGGGTTTCCCTTATTTGTTTTTAGATATAAGAAAACAAGCCTGATAAAGCAGGGGGGAAGAACCTGAGGATTTCATTCATCATCTTTACTCATAATTTTCAAGCTGAGGTGAAGATGATGTAAACTAAGAGTTTTAAATTGTTTTCATTGATTTTCAAAAGAAAACTGGAATTGATTCACATTAAGGTAATCAAGTTTAAAGTATAAGAACATTTTCTGTGATACATTTGCTCTGGAGGATTTATCTGCAGTACTTGTTAAAGGTCTCCTATCTCCTCCACTTATAAGCTTCCATTTTAGGTAATTGAAGAAATAAAAAGAGATGAGGAAAGTCTATGCCATTTCCATTACTTCAATGCCTGAGTTGCACCGACAAATCTTCACTGAATAGCTCAGTTTAAATCATAATATTCCAGAAACAATTTGTACAGTAATTTTGACAATAAAAGTAGTTTGGGCAATGGTGTTGGGTGATTTATTGTCATTGTATGCAGCTTAATTAAGTTATTTGATATGAACTACCTTTCCTTCAGATGTGGAGATTTTTTTGTGTTTCTTACTTCATTAATAGATCACTGTTATACTTCTCTCTTGTGCTTTTTGCAAGTAGCTGCCTCATTTTCATTTCCATAACACTAAATGCAGGGTAGAGTATTTCTAGAAGGTATTATTTACAATGGCAGAAAAATTCTAAAGGGGGAAGGATCAAGGTATAAATGGAAAGAAGGAAAAAATAAAATGAGAACAGTTCTCTGGACAACTTCCATTAAGTCACTGCTGGGTTTATAAAAGTTTCAGGAAATAAATTGCAGTCATTTGGCTAGCTAGTTAGTATTTCTTTCTCTCCTCCTTTTTGTTATGGGAGAAAAAAATTGTTCACCACTGACAGAGCTGTTTTGAAGGATATATGTGTCTCATGTATTGGGGTATTGAACTGTGACACACAAACAAAACAGTTCTTTATCTGAGGACATTATATTTATTCCATTGGATACATACTACAGTATCTATTAGTCTTGTCCCCATTATATCTATGGTTTGGTACCACAGTATTTTACAGGAGGGAACTGATTTCAAAGTTGTTCTGTCTCTATTATGCTGCTCCATTTCTCCCTTTTGAGTTGAAGCTAAGTCAAAAACGAGTTTTTTTATTCTTTTCACCGTGAAAATCAATCTTCTATTGGAATTTCTCACATACACATCCGAATGCTCATTTTTGTAAGGGGCTAAAATCTAATCAAATGGGAACGAATGGTTAAGAGAAAGCTCTGCCAAAGATTTTGGTTGCTGGAAGGGAAGGGTTGGTCCTGGTTCATCTGGACTAAGTCAGAACTGCTCTGACCTCCAGCATCATATGTCCTGTTGAGCCTGCGATTCCTCTGTACATTTGATGCTACATCTGTTGAATAAGCCTCTGAATTGTGGCATTGGCAGGCTATGAAATGGTAGGAAGTTGTTGAAGTTGTTGAGTGCCTGCTTTTTGGAAGGGTGCAGAGGTAAACATCTGTGGAATTCCTATGAAGTAACTTGTTAATGTGTTAATTTTTGCTTTATTTTATGTATTTAGAAAAATCACATGGCTGCCCTTATATATGAATTCTGGGCAGCTAAGAACAAAAACAATATTTAAAAATCACTATAAATCAGACAAAAATAATTAAAACAATCATAATGCTATGACCAAATAGTATATAACACATTCAATTACACAGATCACGTCTATAATTTAGTGTTTTTAATTAGCCAGTTATATTATTGTAAAAGAGCTGAAAGGAAATAAGAACTGAGCCTTAAGAACGCTTAATTACAGTCTGCACTTTCCATCCTTCACGTGTTTTACTCCTACAACAGCTTATAGGCTCTTCTTTTGGTAAATCATGCCAAGATGTGTTTCATTATCAGTTCCCCCCCTTCCGCCCCCCTGACTCCACCTTTTAAATAAGGTAGAGAGAGAAATGAATGTATATTGTAAATACAAAAGTATAGTGCTAGTTACAACTGAAGGTGACTTCTGAGTTTGGAAAAAAAATGAAGAGTTCTTTGTCTATATGCAATTCTGTTTTCTCTAGAATACATTTCTAAATGTACAATAAAAAGGAAAAAGTGCCATCCTGAATAATAGTCTCTCTCACTCTCTCTGTGTCTGTCTGTCTCTATCTCTGTCTCCAGATAATGGCTCTGGATCAGGAGAAGGAGGTAAGTATTGATTCTTTTTTCCATTTGAATGCTGAAATCTAGTTTGAAATGTTTGAGTGTTTATTGGCATCAATATAAGTTTATTTTCTTTTGCACAAATTTCCTAGAATCTCTTTTTTCTAAAAACCCCTCACTTACCTTGGAAAGAATGATTAAAAGAGAGCACTTTTAAATAAGGGATTAAATGCATGCTTAAAGCATTCTGGTTAAAATTATAAGAATTAACATATTTTATGTGGGCCCTTTGATATTTGACAAAGACGGACTTTAATAGTAGAGAATATACATGTATAGCTCAGGGTTGAATTGTTGGGCTCTTAGTGTTGTCTGAGCGTAGAAAGCTCTTCAAGAAATCCAACAGATATGCACCTTTAAGTGAGTAAGTAAGTAAATATATTTATTAATAAGTAAATTCAGTCTATGGGCACATGTTAAAAAAAAATCCAGTTTCTAAACCTGTCAGAGGGACTGAGGGGAGTAACACTAAGAGAGTTCAACTGAACGTTTCAGAATTAGAGATAATTGCATAGTTTGATTTGGATAACAGTCTTTATGTTTCCATATAAACTTTGAGTGAAAGTTTTTGCTAGAAACTTGCTTTAGATTTATTATATTGTTGTTGTCTTGGTGCATGTTACAGACTACTAGAGTATTGTGATAGAAAGTATTCAAACGGGGTAATAAATCAATATGTGGTATAAGTTAACTTGGTAATGCATTAACTTCAAAATAGCATAGGCAGGATTTATACTTTGTTTGGCTGGTGAATAATTTTTTGGGGGGTGGAACATTCAAAGAGAGCCTGAAATTTAGTAGAAATTTGAGCTCTAGCATCCTCATTTCAAACAGCGCTCGGGTGGTAGGGCTGGAAAATACATTTGCCTATTGTGGAAAACTTATGCAAAATCAACAAATATTCCAAATTACTGAACCATTATTTCCCAACTCTGGTTCCTTTCCAACCACTCTTCCTGGAGTGATGGAGTTGAAATCAAAGTCAGCTGGACTTTGATTTCAAAGGGGAAAGCTCCTTGAAAGAGTTGAATGCTTAACTATATACATATTTGTATACTGTGTGTCTTTTATCTTGGAATACTTAATATTCCCTTAATTATTTGAAAACCAAACTTACATTTGGTAAAAAAAACCCACGTTCTTCTCTGACATTAAAACTCAGTGAACTTAATGGATTTTGTGTTGAACAAATCCAGCTACATAAGTGAAGGATTGTAGGACAACAGCAATATAGATAATCTAGGACAGGGATGTCAAACTTGCAGCCCGCGGGCCACATGTGTTATGCACTGGCCATGCCCACCCCCAATTTAGCAAAGGGGGAAAAAGTTGTGATACGTTATGTGACGATATGTCGTTGCGAGTTTGACACCCATGATCTAGGGAAGGAGTGTTTTTCATTATATTTTTATGTAAAATAGATTGCATAAAATAAAGCAAAATGTTCCCAATCTTTTGCTTTGTTATTGTTATTTTAATTTACAGTCAGCTTTTTTTCTTTTATTGACGATGCTGTCTGAATATAGATAGTAAAGTGACAACACCATAAAAATAGGTGAATTATTTTGAACCTTCCTCACCTGGAAATTTCTAGATATGTTGAACAACATCACTGTAGCCAAAACCCTTGTTGGCTAGAAATGACAAGGCTAGAGGTCTCGTACATCTGAAAAGCTGCGAAGGACTGAAATTAGTTTTATGGATGTAAGAACCTTTTTGTGCCTGGATGGTTAAAAGGCCAAAAAGTTCATAGATTATTCTAGTTTTTGATAATTTGGCTGTACAGGGTATAGAGAAGCATTCTGGCTACATTATTTATAACAGTAAATCATTGGTTAGGGCAAAATGTAGATGTCTGAATATATCTGAATGAAGGTTTAACACTTTCTGCAATTCCTGGGTAAGTGAGTTAAGGACTTCAGCAGAGCTTCCTTTTATTAAAATAAAAAAAAAAATCCCGGGGAAGAATTAAGTTCATATAAGCTTGCAATGAACTTTACATTCTGCTGCCTTTATTCTAATCTATAAAAGTAGTCTAAATTATTTTCCCAGCCATGTAGAAGGAGAAGGAAAAAAAGCAACCCACAGATTTGACCCAAGTGTTGTTCTCACTAGTAGTCTTGAAATGGCTAGTGGAGGAGAGAAGCAACCCACAGATTTGACCCAAGTCTTGTTCTCACTAGCAGTACTTGAAATGGTTAGTGGTGGTGATGGGAAGCATTCTGTGTAATGATGTCCAATCCTAATTCTCTTCACTCTTCTGTGTTTTGTGCTATGTGTGATGACCCGGGGCATGCACAAAGGCAACACAGTTAGATAATCAGTAGGAGTCTCTTTATTAGCTCCAACTTTGCTCCCAATGTCCTAGTTACCTTCTGGCTGGAGAAAAACTCTCCCAGGAACAGCCTTTGGCTGCAGAGAATCAAGTCCAAAATGTGGTCAACAAAAACTGTTACTATAAGTCCAATCAAGGCAAGATGAGGTAATTAGTCCGGCAGGTCAGGAGAAGGAATTCCAGACAGGCAGGTCAGGAGAAGGAATTCATAATTCAACACAGTTGGGAGGATGCCAGGAACACAGATAACCAAAGTCAACACAAGATGAACTCATGTTGTTCCCAGCAGATGCCACACTTGGCATGCATCTCTTTTAAACTATCTTCCCAGGTGTGGCTAATGAATCAGGGCCCTTTCCCCCCCTGTAAGCCACTCAACCCATGTTGCTCTCTTTTCCATTCCTCCATGCATGCCCTCGGATGAAGAGGGGGTGGGCTTGGGTCTTCCTCTGAACTCCCTCTCCCTTGTCTCTCCCCTGCTCTGCCCAGCCGGACTTTGCCCTTCCCCAGTTTCCTCCACTGCCACGGAGCCACATTTCCACTCCCTGTCAGCTGTTCATCTTCCTCCTCAGATTCAGACTTCGACAAGGGCATGACACTATGTGAAACAGCAAGTTGAGCCTGCTTAAATCATAGCCCAAAGATGAGGCAAAATTAGAATCACAGATGCGGGGTGTGTGTGTTAAACTGATCTGGTAATACTAAATAACAAATAAAATGAGGTTCACATTCAGTTTAGATTTACCAGCATAACATATTACATATGAATCAGTCTCCCGCAGACACACAGCTTTGTAAAATAATGTCAACATAGCTTCTTTCAGACTGTATTTTCCACTCATCTTGTCTTTTTTCCATCTTTCACCTAAGAAACATATATGATCAGGCAACCAAGAGTTAGTGGAACAAATAGCTGGGATGTGATTCAGCATTCCTATTCTATGTTTCTTAAGTAGAGTAATGGTTCATTGCTGGCAGTTTAATTCTTTATTCTTGTTATGTAATGCTAACCATAGTGTATGTCTATTTACCTAAATAAACTTTAAATTACCGTGTTTCTCATAAAATAAGGCTGGGTCTTATTTTTTTTTTGAGCCCCGAAAAAACGGCTAGGACATCTTTTCGGGTGTGACTTAATTTCTTCCCCCACGCACACCTCCACCTAGAGTGCCCCATGCGCACTCACCTCTCCATGAGGCTGCCACTGGAAGTTCCCCAAAGGTAGAGTCACCAGCCGCTTCTATAGGCCGGTAGAAGCGGCCTCGGGGCAAGCACCCATGCGCACTCACCTCACCACGAAGCTGTTTCTATCAGCCGATGGAAGCTCCCCAAAGGCAGAGTCACCAGCCGCTTTGGGGTGAGGCGTGGCTGCGCACAGGGCGCTCCTGAGAGGAGCACCCCACGGACACTCTCCTCGAGGCCATTTCTATCAGCCGATGGAAGCTCCCCAAAGGCAGAGTCACCAGCCACTTTGGGGTGAGGCGTGGCTGCACACAGGGTGCTCCTGAGAGGAGCACACTCTCCTCGAGGCCGTTTCTATCGGCCGATGGAAGCTCCCAAAAGGCAGAGTCACCAGCCGCTTCCAGCGGCCAATAGAAACGGCTTCATGGCGAGGGGAGTGCGCATGGGAGAGTGGCTGCAAACTTTTCTTAGCAGAAGGGAAGCAAGCTGAGTCTCTCTCTCTCTCTCTCTCTCTCTCTCTCTCTCTCTCTCTCTCTCTCTCTCTCTCTCTCACACACACACACACACACACACACACACACACACACACACCACCCCTACTAGCCCTCATCCCTGCACCAGGTCAGCCAAGGCCTTCTGGCGAGGGAAGGTCTCAGCATTTGCAGGGTTCCCACTGCCGCCCTCCCCTCCCCAGTCCAGACCTTTTCCGGGCACCCCGCCAAAGTCCCAGGGCAGCCGACCTCCCTTTACCTGCTGCCGCCGCTGGTTTGGGGAGCGGGGGGGGCGCCAGGGAGGGAAGAGGAGGCAGCAGAGCTCGGCTAACCTTAGAAGGGAGATCGGGCCGGCTCCTGAAAGGAGATGCGGGAGCGGTCCTCATAGAAATGCGGCGGGGAAGCGGGGTGAGTGTGAAAGGACGCCTCCTTCTCTCTCTCTCTCTCTCTGAGCTCCTGAAAGAGCACCTGTCATTAACCAATTAACCAACGCCAGCCTCGGAATCCCTTGTTTCGGCATAATTCGGCATAATTCGGGACGAGAGAGGAGCCGTAAAACCAGGGACTTGGCGACGAGGTGCAGGTTCTTTTTTTTTTTTTTTGATTGAGTTCAATCACAAGACATTTCTTGATTTCATTGGACGTCGGAGGCGTTCAGAAGAACTTTTGAAAAACTTGTGGGTCTAACTTTGAGAAGCAATGAGTTTTTTCCTCTCAAATGGCGGAGGTTTGGGATGGTCTTTGGAGACCTCCCCTCTCTTTTAGCTGAGGGAGACCTGGGCGATTTTAGGCTAAAAGCTGCCCTGGAGAGATTGATTAGAGAATGGGCAAGAAAGCAAAACAAGAATACATTGGGGCTAAGGGGTTTTCTCCCATTCCCTCTGTCACAATCTCACAATTTTCATCCAGACACAGATACGGGTGTGCTTTCTCTCCTGCCCCGCTGGTAGATTCAAAGAAAACTAATGCTTACGAGG